CCACACCTCACTCTGGAAACTGGCAGTTGGTCTTACCTGAACTGTATGTTTCAGAGAAGGTGTGGGAGGAGTCACTTCTTCCCCCCTGGTTTAGGGCGCCCCGCGCTAGGGGCCTGAGCCAGCTCAGTGGTCAGTCAGCGCCAAATAGGAAGGACGTGTGCTTGCATTGTTCCTTGTTCCTTCCTTCCAGGTGCTCTGATACGACCATCAGTTAATCTGGGAGAGCAAAAGGAGGATTGGAGGTGTGGCCTCAAAAGATTACCTCAGACTCCAGGGCAAAAGGGTTAGGTTAATACCCATGTGTTACTCCTCGCACACCTTCTCTGAAACATACAGTTCAGGTAAGACCAACTGCCATTTTCTTATACTGTGAAAAAATCTGGGCAGAAAACAGATTGAATTTAGTGGCAATCCATTTGAATTGCTAAATGGATATGTATTAGAGTTGGTTTCCTGTTATCCTATTAACATTCTATGTATATTTGCTTTTCAGGGTATTCATCCATATCATTCTCTGAGCTATACCAGTGGAGATACAGCTACAGACTCACCAATGCATGTTGGTCGTTCTGGGCTACTTGTTAAAGAAAGTCCAAGAAAAGAGAGTTTACTTAGCTATTTGACTGGAAGTTTTCCTAGTCTACATAATCTTTTGGAGGGGACTCCTCAAAAAAATACCACCGCCCCCAAAAGTAGCTCTTTAACAAGAACAGGTAGAAAACATTTTGTTGCTATTATAGTTTATTGATGAAAGCAGTGAATGATGGTTTAATTTCACACTATTCATTGTTTTCAGTATTACATCCTTAGAATTCTCAAGATATTATAGCAATTTTCTTTTCACCAAGGCACAGGTTCAGATGTAAAATGCATAGTCACTTCTCTACAACTACATTTGATTAAAGTGGCAATAAATCAGCTGGTGTAAACACTGTTACCAAAAGAGATCCATATTACTTTTGGAATATTTGTTTTAATAAAGTGTAATTTATTCCTATGTCAGTATCTGTGGACTTAAAAACAAAGAGTAAAATGTCTCTTCTTGGTCTGTTTCTTAGATGTTTGTCTGCTGTCTTTCTCTTAGTTATTTTTTTAATCTATATCTTCCCAATAATGACCTAATAAATAAGTAGAAGAATTTGTAGATAGTTTTGTAAAATATAGAATTCTGTTGTATGCTATGTATATTCTGGGTATATGTAATTCCAAAAAAGTTTATTATACAGGTTTCAGTTCTATAGAACTTTTATTGGGAAACTATTTTCTCTGTAATTTATAAAAATAAGGCCATATGGCTAATGAGCCAAGGTGGCGCAGTGGTTAAATGCAGCACTGCAGGCTACTTCAGCTGACTGCAGTTCTGCAGTTCGGCT